TTTCTTCCTGTTAATATGGTGTATTACATTTATGGTTTTGCGTATGTTGAACCAACCTTGCATTCCTGGTATAAAGCCTACCTGATCATGATGTATAATCTTTTTCATAAGTTGTTGTATACGATTTGCTAGTATCTTGTTGAGAATCTTCACGTCTATATTCATCAGGGATATTGGTCTATAGTTTTCTTTCCTTGTCTAGTCTTTATCTCTTTTAAGGATAAGGGTGATAGAGGCTTCATAGAATGAATTAGGGAGAGATTCACCCTTTTGGATATTTAGAAACATGATCATCTTAATAGATAAAGAAAGTACAACTGACAATAGTAAATAACCTTTCATAATACTCTTCAAGCTCTTTATGTAAAAAGAATTTACCTCAACATGATGAAAGCCATATATGAAAATGCTAACTTTATATACACAATGAACTACTAAAGCTTTTTCTCTAAAATCAGAAAGGCAAGGATGTCTACTCTCTTCACTTCTTTTCAGTATACTGTACAAGAACTAGCCAGTGCAGTGATTTAGGAAAAATGATGCCATCTGAATTTGTAAGGAAGAAGCTCAATTGTCTTCCTTACAGTGATATGAGCAAGTATCTAGAAAATCTTCTTGAGTCCATAGGAAAGCAGTTGGAAATCATCATTGAACTGCACGCTGGTTAAAGAGGATTGAGCACAACTTATTGTAAATGCCAAATGCAAGTTAATAAAAATGCCACCTTGAACATTATAATGATACAAACATCATCCACAAGCTTGTGTCTGTGCTTGAGGACACAAAGACTCAAATTCAATAAAAAAAAAGTCACTGAAATTGCTTACAATGATGAAAACAAGAATAGGTATGAATTACTTTAATGGCTTGTATTTTAGATCCAGAAACATAATATAGGTCTGCGTTTTGTTGTTTTAGGGATCTCTGACACATGCTATAACATTTCTGTTGCCAGCACACCAAAAACTAATGTTTGGGAAGTTTCATTAGTGACAGAATGAATTTTTTGACATTGTCAGTTTTTGCTATTTTTGTTCAGGTGAAGGTTCAGCGTTTTGCTCTTCATTTGGGGACTTTCTACAACTTTCTACACCTCATCCACAGGAAAGTAAACAAGCAGCAAAGTAAAACCCAAAAAGGAACCCACAGAAATATCATCACAAAAGGCTTACGATGGCCCAGTTTCTCCTCATTGTCCCGAGGGGGTGGCCCGCTATCCACACTGCCTCCCCAGCCTTTTTCCAGGCAGTAGGGAGGGTCCCATCCAGGGTCGCAATGACAGTGATGTTTATCATTACAGATCCCTCGATCATTACAGATCTTAGGCTCACAAAGATCTTTCAAAACTGATAAAGGAATGCAATGCCCATCCAGGCATATGTGTTCTGGGCCACACTCAGTGCCCTCGTTGACCATTCCAACATCAGGTATGGTCATCCCTAAGTGGTAGTCGGTACTCCAGCAGTTGACACCATTGAAGTGAGTCCAAAGCACGGTAGAATGGTCTTCCATAAGTGGAATTTTTGTCACGTTCTCACACTGGATTCTGCCACACAGGACATCTGCGATACTACATTTTACATATCTAGCACCCTTGATGCCACAGTTACCAAATCGGTCTCCCTGCGTGTTCACATGACTGTAGCAACTCTGATTTGCGCTCTTAGATACTTCGCCAAAAATTTGCTTGCATTGCTCATCACGGACATTGCATCTCTTTCCATGGCAGTATCCCACACCCATGCAGCGCACTCCAGCCTGCACATACACATCCACTGGACACTCGTGTGAAGTCCCGTTGCACCACTCTGGAAGGTCACATTCATTGCCACTTTCTCTGCACACTTCACCTGATGGCACTAACTGGCAGTCTTTGCAACAAAGGCCAAAAGCACAGGTGGCCCCAGGTTTCAGAGAGCAGTTTGACAAGCAGCATGGATCATTTTCACACAAACTTATGGTCCCACAGTCACATTGCTCCCCTTCTTCGACGACACCATTTCCACAGTGCTTCAGTGAGAAGATACTGTCTGGACTGGGTGGTTCGTGCATACAAGTAGTCTTAAAATCTACAGTTGAAAAGTAAGAATAACTGCAATTGCTGAATGTTCTTGAGGATGTTGTTGAGGGAAACATTATACATGTCCTGTGTCCACATTTGCATGTATCATCATCGTGGAACATACCTAGGTTATGACCCATCTCATGTGCCAACGTTACTGCAAACGCAGAGTATTTGTCATCCATGAAACTATTAACTCCACAATTAATCTCCTTTTTACATACTGTACCAATATAAGCTAGCCCAAGAGAAACACCAAATTGACATTTTATAAGGAGATGTGCAAGATCATGCTTTTTGCGTGGATTCAAGCTGTGTGTCTTCCAACGGCAAAATTCCCGTAGAAGAACACTTATATCATTGTTATTCACAGCATTTCCTTCATTCCAGATCTCAATTCCACATAAAAGCACGTTGATGTCCAATGCAGTATAAAAGGTACTTATTACATTGAGCACAGTGATTACTTCCTCTTGCACCTTTGACACATTACTTTCCCGATGAAAGAATCGTTCTTGGTCTACCACCACTGCCAACTCAAGATGCCGCTTGTGGGTCCACCAGCCTAAATAGTCACTCTGCATCAGAGTATAATTATCACTCTCTGGAAAAGTGAATTCCTGTACTATGTCATCAGTTAATGCACATCGCGTGGGTGGGAACTCTGACTCTTCACGGTCCATCTTGTACACCAGATGTTCAAATGTGACAGAATGCCTTTTGGGTTTGATTTCGTAGGCGATGTCATTTATATGTAACACTCCTTGAAAGCCCCCAAGACAGGGGCTAAGGGCAACGAGGGAATCTGGGTCTCCCTCCACAAAACCCTGATAGTAGCAGTCATCCCGGACAAAGGGCTGGTCCTCTACGAGAGCACCCTGATCTGTGTACGTGAACACGGAGAGGGATCTGGACACTAAGACCTTCCTGGGCTTCATGTGGACAATGTGCCTCTGGCCCCCAAAGTGCAGGCTATAGCAGACCCAGCCTGAACTATTCATGCCTTTATCACTGTCAGTTACCCTGAGGGGTATCACCACTTCTGGGGGGCTGTGTTGTTGGCAGTGTCCTATCTGGGGCCATGGAGAAAGAAAAAGGAACACCCCCAGCCAGTGCAGCAGAAGAGTGGTCAGACCCTGAGCCAGGGCCTCATACACAGCCATTATGGGTCCAGAATAGTGGCTCTGTGGGAGAGCGAAGGAATGGAGGCAGGAGACGATGTTGTGTGTCTCCTCCCTTTGAGGTGCTTCTTTGCAGGACTGACCGTGAATGCTGTGTCTTCTGGCAGAGTCAATCCATCACACCAGCAGAACTGAAAGAAAAGAGAAGAGCAGAGACAGGCGTGGTGTTAGGAGCAGGCCAGAGTGGAAGACAGACGGCAGGGATAGGTCAATGAATGAGTGTTGGCTCCTGACTTATCTCAACGTACTGCACTGCATTGCCCTGAGATATCCGTGAGCAAGGCCAGACTGTGCTGGACAAGGAACGACTATGGACCATGGGATATGGATAATTGCACCTGATGAAGGACACATTGCACCGGTTTCTAAATACGTGAGCGTGTTCCCAGTAAATGTATAAAATGAAAGCGTTGTAATGGTGGACATGAATCTTCTTTTCATGTTCGATTGTGATTTATACATACTGACTTGTATACGTATCAATAGTTGTCATAACTTCAAGTATTTACTCAGAGGTATCTGGAGTGACACATTGAATTCTGGATATATACATTTGGTGTTCATCCACCTTAGTATCTAGGAAACAACTCAGAACTTGCTCTATCTTCATCTAATCCTGTCAAACTGAAAACTGGCAACTCCTCCATGCTCTTAAATGATATTGGTTTTAGGGCTCCTATGGAGGCACGGTGTTGGTGCACACTGCAGTACCCTAGCTGCAGGGGACACTGGGGCTCACTGCCTGGTCAGGCTGTACACTCCATGGCTGTGTCTGTTGCCCGTGATCTTGGCGGGCTGGAAAGGCTGGGAACGATCACAGCAGGCCTCCTGGAGGTCCTCGTTGGTCTGTCAGTGCCTCTGACCCTTTTCTGTCACCCTTTGTATCTCACCAACATGAAATGAGTGGATTAATAAACTGAAAAGGTGTTGCTATCTACTGTAATGGACAGCTTCTTTCAGTAAAAATACCAAACAGGACCAACCAGTGTGGTGGTGGTTGAGGCAGCTGGATCCCACTTCGTCCAATGCATTGACCCACATTCTCGTACCCCCAGCTTGAGAAATGCCAGGCACGTGTACTTGCATGCTCCAAATCCCAAACGGAAGAAGAGTAGGAAGAGAAGGGATTGCAGCATGTCCATTCTCAAAGGGAGTGGTTTCTAACTTTCCGTCCCTCTCTCTGTTTCTCTCCAACAAACATGCCCACCCTCTTGAAAATCAAAAAACAAAATGGAATGAAAATAATAAAGATGGGTGTAATTGTTGTGTGGAGTATCTTGCTGCCCCTTAATTCTATGTTCACAATGTGGAGGCCAGCAGGGAGGAGGAGTCTCATACCCCGAATCTCCAAAGCCACACAGATCAGAAGGTTAGTCATAATTGTCCTTGATAAACAAAGCCCCTTCCAGATCACTACCAGGGTTATCTCATGATACCGTTTCATTTACATTTCTCCTTTTTTCTTACACCAACTTCCCATATCAGTCCTACGTAAACCACATATTGGCCAACTCGTTTACTGTTCACCTCCCTGCCAGTAATCATTCCCATATTCTGTTTATAGGCCAAGCATATGTCAACCCACACACACCTAATTCTTCTTTCTTACCTTCCAGGCTCACTGAGAGTGATTGCTAGCCACAAAACTATGGTTGTAGCCTTCTTCATCACAATCTTACTCTTTCCTTTTAATTTTCCTTAACGATTTGTCTTATTACTTGGCAGAGTCAATCCATCACACCAGCAGAACTGAAAAAAAAGAGAAGAGCAGAGACAGGCACTCTACAGGGTCTTGAAATGCATCCCTTCTCTCTCCCTGCCCTCCATCTAATCAGAACCTTGGGTACACACGCCAGCATGTTTGGTCAACTCGGAGTAGGAACAGGCACTGTAGATCAATATACTGCCACCTGTGGCACAGAATGGACCCACAGCTTTTATTCTTCACTCAAACATGGACCCATAGATGGCATAGCAGTTATGTTGTTGTACTCCCACATGGCTGAAAGCAGTTTGAGTCCCAGACCAAGTGGCTTGAAATCATGCCAGAATTGCGTGTGTGCATGCCAATGATACCAGAGGGAAAATGTGGGAGAAGGGATTGCAGCATGGCTATCCCCATGGACAGTGATTTCTCACTTTCTCTCTGTCTCTCTCTGGTGAGTCCACATGTCCTAAGGTAAAACCCGCTAAAAATAAAAGATAGTGACTCTGAAAAATTATAGAGGACTAGGGCAGGCAGGTGGCTTGTAGGATAAGGTGATGGATATCTCATGGACGACTCCACAGTTCGAGTCCCAGACCTAGAGTCTTGAAAATCACATTGGGCATGTGTGCGCTTGCTCAAAATTCTAAAAAAACACCGGAGAAGAACAGATTGTGGCATACCCATTCCTTTGGGGGGTTATTTTTCACTTTCCTTTTCTGAATCTCTCTCTCTCTTTATCTCTGATGAGTTCAAACACCCAAGAGCACAAAATAAATAAATAAATAAATAAATAAATAAATAAATAAATAAATAAGGAGAACTTATAGAGGACTCCATTTTTCTTTCTACATCTTTTTGTGTGTTTTTTTTTTGTGTTTTTTTTTTTTTTGAGAGGTTTTTGCTATAGGGCGTGAGCACTTGCCAGACAGAGCCAGAGAGACAGAAAGCGAGAAATCACCCCCCAGGGGGGATAGCCACACCACAATCCCTTCTCCTCCATCCTCCTCTCGGGATCTTGGGCACGCACGCACACGCGCCTGGCGTGAGTTTAAGCCACCGGATCTGGGACTCGAACTGCGGTCGGCTACGTGGGAGTCCAGCGACATAGCCATAACACTAACTGCTGGTCCCTCTTTCTACCTCTTTTTACTTCTCAGGTTCCCATCACTGCACCTTCCATCCCCATCACCTAGCTCTGTAGACTCCATAAATTTGATCTCTATTCATTCAAATCCTCAACCCAATCAAAAGTAATCATGTGTTTGTGTTATCCACTCTTACAATTCATTGGGAACATGAGAGATAATCTGAGAGAATATTTATGGGAAGGCTTAAAAGAGAAGACCCATGAAATTAGAGTGGGATACCTCAGCCCAAAGGAAGAAGTTAGAAGCAGACCCTTGTGGCAAACATTCCTGTAATATTTTTCCTTAGTTGTGCTTCATTGTCCACATTTGTTTCATAACTTGCTGATTTTCTGAATTTCCTCTTCAACACATGGAACCCTCAGCTGAAGTTGTCTTTGTACAGCTAGGTATTATGATCTTATTTCAGCAATGGCGAGTTAAGTTGTAAAACCAAGCGTCCCTCATTAATGTTTGTTTAGTATTTTTTTGCTTTGTCATAGCAGATAGTTTGTAGGTGACTTGTTTTAGGCTGCATACTAACCTTATTATTAAGGTGACAAGATCCCTCGATTATGTGGGCAACATTATTAAGTAACAGAAAGGGGAGATTTACTTGAGGAGATGCTTAGAGTTGGCAAGAAGGGGACGAAAGCTTCAGACAACATCTCCATAGTGGGAGTAAACTCCCACGATCCTGATTTGGTCTCCATCTCTCTCTTTATTTACATTTGGTAATTATCATGGAGTGTGGATTTTTGTTGTTATGAAAAATAATCATTTATTAACACTGTACGTAAACTTAAGCAACATAAATCGGTGAGAATTTTATTCTAGGGCCTTTGACTGGCATGCTGGTAATAGGAAAAGACCCTTGTAAAAATATTTGAGCCCTGCTATACTTGTCCTTATTGCATCATTTTGTGTAATGACCTAAGAGACCAGGTCTCCGGAGACAATATCACATTGTCATCGTGAAGTAGCACAGTGCCATAATGCTGCCGAAACGTCAACGTAGACTGACATGCATCATCTTCTGTGAACTGTTATCTTTATCTCCAAGTCTTACCAGATTCCTTAATGTTGGTATACTAATTGCCACCTAACTTCTCACTCTCCCTTATAGCAATGTTATTAATGCTTTGCAGTCCATGCAAACTGAGCGAAATAGATTAAAGACAATTTCGGAACTCTGAGCCAGGTAAATATAGTATAACTGGAAGTAATACAGGGATACTCACCACTTAATCTGATTGCTTAGCAGCACTTCTTGTGTCTATGTGTGTGTGTTGACTGTGCGCGAGTGCATTCTGTGGGTGTGTGTCCTGTGAGTGTATTGTATGTGTTCTCTGTGTCTGTGTGTGTTTGTGTATGCACATGTATTATAGCATGCACAAAACCTGCTGCTTTTGTCCTTTAGCGTTGTACTACAGAACACTTATCAGAGTCAAATTGGTGGCTCCCATGATTTTTTTCTGTGAATGGTACTTTTTCTACCACCCACCTCTATGAAAAACGATTTATAATTGACACTTCGCATGACCAAGAGAAGTGTAGATCCCCTCCTTCATTTCTTTCTCATTTTATGAAGTTCTAGTTTTGGCTGCCTAGCAACAAGAGTCTCTAGCTCTATAGAATGTGACAGCTGCCTAACATTCCTTCCTCCTGGAACCAGCAGTTGGCGTAATGGTTATGTCACTGGACTCCCACGTGGTCGACTATGGAGCAAGTCCTGGACCTGGTGGCTTAAGCTCACATTGGCCACATGTGTGTGTGTGCCCAAGATCCCGAGAAGAGAATAGAGGAGAAGGAATTGTGGCGTGGCCATCCACCCTGGGGGATGATTTCTCGCTTTCTGTCCTTTGGGTACATACCAAGGAGTGGAATTGCTGGATCACATAGTAGTTCTAGTTATAGATTTTTGAGGAATCTCCCAATTGTTTTCCACAGTGGCTGGACCAATTTATATTCCCACCAGCAGTATAAGAGGGTTCCCCTTTCATCACACCCTCCCATCACTTAATCATTTTTTGTTTTAATACACTTAGTCAGTCTGACTGGGGTTAGTTGATACCTCATTGTAGTTTTGATCTGCATCTCTCTTACGATGAGGGATGTTGAGCATTTTTTCATATGCCTTTTGGGTATTCTTACGTCATGCTTAGAGAGTGTTTTTATCAACTCATTCTCCCATATTTTAATAGGGTTGGTACTTCTTTTTCTGGACAGCTGCTTGAGTTCCTTGTATATTCTAGTTATCAGTCTCTTATCTGATGCATAGTTTACAGAAATGTTTTCCCATTCTGAGGGCTATCGATTTACACTAGTTACTGAGTCTTTTGACATGCAGAAACTTCTTAATCTGATGTAATCCCACTTGTCTATTTTGGGGATTATTGACTGTGCTGTGGAGTCTTATTTAAGAGGTCTTTGCCTGCCCCAATGTCTCCCAGAGTTTTCCCAGTGTTTTCCAGCAGCAGTATTATAGTTGGAGGTCTTAGGTTTAGACCTTTGATCCACTTGTCTATTTTGGGGATTATTGACTGTGCTGTGGGGTCTTATTTAAGAGGTCTTTGCCTGCCCCAATGTCTCCCAGAGTTTTCCCAGTGTTTTCCAGCAGCAGTATTATAGTTGGAGGTCTTAGGTTTAGACCTTTGATCCACTTTGAGTTGATTTTTGTCAATGGTGAGAGGTAGGGGTTCATATTCCTCTTTCTGCAGGTGAATATCCAGTTTTTCCACCACCATTTGCTAAAGAGGTTTTCCTTTTCCCACCGGATTGGCTGATACCCATTGTCAAAGATCAGTTGACTATATGTTTGGGAGGTTATTTCTGGGGACTCTATTCTGTTCCATTGGTCCACCTGTCTGTTTCTGTGCCAATATCATGCTGTTTTGATTATTTCCACAGTTTTGTAGTATATTTTTGGGTCACAGAGTGAGATGTTACCCACTCCACTCTTCTTGTGCAGGATTGCTTTGGCAATATGAGGTCTTTTATGATTTCAGACAAATTTTATGGTTATCTTTTCTAGATTTGTGAAAAATGTGTCTGGTACTTTGATTGGCTTTGCATTAGGTATATAGATTAATTTAGGTAGAATTGCAATTTTGATTATATTAATTCTTCCAATCCAGGAACATGGATTGTCTTTCACTATTTTTTGTGTCATTTCAATTTCTTCTTTTAGCTTTTCATACTTTTCTTTGTGGAGGTCTTTACCTCCTTTGGTTAGATTTATTCCTAGATATCTTATAGTTTTTGTGGCTATGTTAAATGGAACGAATTTTTTTCAGTTCTATCTCAGTCTGCCTGCTGTTTGTATATATAAATGCTATGAGTTTCTGTATGTTGATTTTGTATCCTGCAACTTTACTATATTCATGTATTACTTCCAGGCATTCTTTCATGGAAACCATTGGGTCTTCTATGTATACAATCATGGCATCTACAAATAGAGAAAGTTTCACCTCTTCTTTTCCTATTCGAATGCCTTTTATTTTATTCTCTTTTCTGATTACATTGGTGAGGACTTCCAGTACTATATTAAAAAGGAGTGGAGAAAGTGGGCATCCTTGTCTTGTACCAGTTTTTAGTGGAAAAGCTTTCTGCTTTTCTCCATTCAGGATGATGTTTGCTATGGGTTTTTCATAGATGGCTTTTATTGTCTTGAGAAATGAACCATCTATGCCAATTTTGCTGAGAGTCTTGATTATGAAAGGATGTTGTATCATATCAAATTCTGTTTCTCCATCAATTGATATGATCATATGGTTTTTATCTTTCTTTCTGTTAAAATGGTGTATTACATTTATGGTTTTGTGTATGTTGAATCGACCTTGCATTCCTAGAGTAAAGCCTACCTGGTCATGATGTATAATCATTTTTATAAGTTGTTGGATATGATTTGCTAGTATCTTGTTGAGAATCTTTGCGTCTATATTCATCAGAGATATTGGTCTATAGTTTTCCTTCCTTGTCCTGCCTTTATGTGCTTTAAGGATAAGGGTAATGGAGGCTTCGTAGAATAAATTAGGGAGAGGTTCACCCTTTTGCACCTTTAGAAATAAGTTGAGCATAATGGGAGTTAACTCTTCTTTAAAAGTTTTGTAGAATTCAGAGGTGAAGCCATCAGGACCAGTGCTTTTCTTTGTTGGGAGGTTATTTATTACTGATTCAATCTCCTGGCTTGTTATGGGTCTATTCAGACTTTCTATATCCTCCTGGCTCAATCTTGGTAGATTACATGTGTCCAGGAATTTGTCCATCTCATCCAGATTTTCTTGTTTCTTGGCAGATAGCTGTTTACAGTATTCTCTAATGACGTTTTGTATTTCTGCGATGTCTGTGGTTGTATTGCCTGCTTCATTGGAAAGTTGGTTTACCCTGTTTTTTCCTCTCTTCTTCTTAATAAGTCTCACTAGTGGTGTATCAATTTTGCTTATCTTTTCAAAGAATCAACTTTAACTTTCATTTATTTTTTTGTATAGTTCATTTATTTTCTATGTCATTTATTTCTGCTTGTATTTTTATTACTTCTTTTCTCCTGAAGTTTTTTTGGATTTTTTTGCTGTTGTTTTTTTAATTCTCTGAGGCACGATGTTAGGTGATCCATTTGCCTTCTTTCCATCTTCTTCTTATGTACACTAATTGCTATGAACTTCCCTCTTATGGCTGCTTTTTCAGTATCCCAAAGATTATGGAAACTTGTGTCCTCATTGTCATTGGCTTCCATAAATCTTTTGATTTTAGTCTTTGTTTCTTCAGTAGTAGTGAAATAATTCAGGAGTAGGTTATTTAGTTTCCATGTATTTGTGTGTTTTTTGAGGATTTCTCTTGAAATTAAAATCAAGTTTAATTACATCATGGTTGGAGACGATGCTGGATATAGGTTCAATGCCTTTGAATCTGTAGCGGCTTGCCTTGTGCCCTATCGTGTGGTCAATCTTCGAATGGAGGTGAGAAAAAAGTGTACTTTGTGGTTTTCAGGTGGAAAGTTCTATAGATGTCTGTTAAGTCCATTTGATTTATGGTGTCATTTAGATCCTTTATTTCTTTACTTATTTTTTGTTTAGATGATCTGTTTAGAGGAAATAGTGGGGTGTTAAAGTCTCCAGCAATTAATGTGTTGCAGTATATATCTCCTTTTAGATCTAACAGTCTTTCCTTCACATATTTGGGTACTCCTGTGTTAGGTTCATAGATATTTATAAGTGTTAAATCTTCTTGATAGACTAACCCTTTTACTACAATACAGTGCCCTTTTTTGTCTCTTTAAACAGTTTTTGTTTTAAAGCCTATTTTGTCAGAAACTAGTATTCCGACTCCAGCTCTGCTTTGATTTCCATTCACATGGAATATCTTTTTCCAGCCCTTTACTTTAGGTCTATGTATTTCTATACCATGAAATGTGTTTCTCGTAGGCAACAGATAGAGAGTTTCTGGTTTTTTATCCATTCAGTCAGTCTGTGTCTCTCGATTGGACAATTTAATACATTAACATTCAATGTTATTATCGATATTTCTGAACGTCTCTACATTTAAGTTGGCCATTGTCTTGGTTGTCTCTTATTCCTTTATTTCTGGCTGATCATTCTTTAGTTTTCCTGGAACAGTACTCTCTTCAAAGTTTCTTGAAGAGCTGGTCTGGTGTTGCCAAATTCTTTCAGGTTTTGTTTGTCTGAGAAGATTTTAATCTTTTTTCTTCCCATATGAATGATAATCTTGCAGGGTATAATAATCTTGGTTGAAATTGGTTCACTATTAACACTTTCAGCATGTCTTCCCATTCTTTCCTTGCTTGCATTGTTTCTGTTGAAAGGTCTGGTGTTAGCCTGATGGAATGATCCTTGTAAATCACTTGTCATTTCTCTCTTGCTGGTTTTAGTATCTTGTCTTTATCTGTGGTCTTGGACAATCTGACTAAGATGTGCCTTGGGGAAGATCTTCTTAGGTTGACTCTATTTGGGGTCCTTTGTATTTCTTGGGTATGGATGTTTGAGTGCATCTCTTGACTTGGGAAGTTATCTTTCTTTCTGGGATACTGATTATTCGTATGTTTGGACATTTAATGGAATCTAGTATTTTTCGTATATTATCCTCATGAGTTTTATTTATTTATTTATTTTTGTAATTTTTTCTATCTTTTTTTTCCCCCCTAGTCAGAGGTTTTATCTTGTATGTCAGAGATTCGATCTTCAGCATGGTCTAATTGACTTTTCATATTTTGGAGAGAGTTTTTGATTTCCTGTGTTACAGACTTCATCTCTAATAGTTCCATCCTATTTTTTCTTATAGTATCCATTTCTTCTTTCATGTTGTAGAAGGACTTCCTAATCGCCTGTAGTTCGTTGTCTCTTTTCTGTTTCAGCACATAGAGTTTTGTCACCATGAATGTTCTAAATTCTTTCTCTGACATTTTGATAACATCCTCTGTTTTATCAAGAGATCGAGGGGGAGTTATTATGTTCTTTTGATGGAGATATATTGCCTGGTTTATTCAGACCTGAGGCTCTTCAACTTCTAGACATTGGGAGATGTATTCACTTTTGGATACCTTTTAA